TAGATAGATAGATAGATAGATAGATAGATAGATAGATAGATAGATAGATAGATAGATAGATAGATAGATAGATAGATAGATAGATAGATAGATGATTTATGATTTCATGATTCGAAATGTGCTTTGTTCAGTTCAGATAATGTGTTTATGATTATATTATCACTCAAAACAACAAACAAACATTGGAATTATTCCACAGTAGACACACTTGCGTTCATCATGCCATACTAAACTTAATGTGGTAATGCAATATATATAAACAAATTTTGTATTTTTACACAAACCCTTGGCAAGTGTATTTCGCACGTGTTTCAGTTGAGACGCTGGATATCTGCTAAAAAGCTTGCCAATTTATTGTCAGTGGATAATATAGCAAGGGAACACAGAGAGTATAGGCTTAGTGGATTATATCTTTACACGCATTATTCTGCTTGAGTGACTGGCTGAAAAAAAACCCCCGCACAGGCAACAACAAAGATTGGTCAGCCATGAATGCGGCCTGTGTGTTTTGTCTTTATAACATATTAATCCATCACGCAGTGAACAGGGGAGTATTTGAAGAGTGTGTTTAATGAGATTTTTGTGTTTTATTTCCCCCTTTCCCTAATAGTAGAAAGTCACGTGCGAAAAATAAATAGATAAATAAAATAAATAAATAAGAAAGAAAAAAACTTCACCATTTTTTTGTAGACGAATTTAATTTCTTTTTGAAATTTTCATTTATTCATATAATGCGGGGAAAGTGGGTCACCAATAAATTCTGTCCCAGCGCTGATGTAATTGCAACAAAATGCTGCTGACTAAAAATTGAGGAGCTCGCTGACTGCGGTGGCACAGTCACTCACCATCTGGAGTGTATTATAAAGAGAAGCCGTAAATATTGCTGAAAAGCCCAGGCGTTATCAGGTATGTAAGCCCGGGCCTTGCTGCACGGCCTCCCATATGTTGACATAATCAGACTGTTGGGATGTCTATTAAAACGTATCTGAATTTAATAAATGAACACAGTAATTAAATTCAATTTGTTTGTGCAGGTCTCCCAATGATTCCCACTGCTGGTATGTTTACATTTTTGGAGTAGTGGATTATGATGGGATGAGATGCTGCATGGCTCACGGGATGTTATTATGGTGCTGATATTGCTGTTATGTTTGGAGCAGAAGCAACAGGTTGGCAGGTTTCACTTCAAACTTTCCTCCAAATTTCCCCTGAAAACTTAGCGGCTCATTGTTACACAGCCCCCCATCAATCATGATCAGTTGTCTTTGTCTGTTGTAAAAGGCATATCTTTGCCAGGGAGAAATATGCACACATCTTCTCAGACATGACAGAAGGAGTTGGGAGTTCATGAGCTGAAACGCTCTGCTACATCCGAATCAAGCGTTCAAAACCAAGCATTTCCTTTCAGACCATCCGGGTTTCCTTTTTTTCTTCCCTGGTAGTGGTTTATTCCACACGCGTAAACGCCACCATTCGCGCAAACAAGGGTTCATATACTGTACACACGCGGCACACCAGTGAGCAAGCCTGCACTTTGTAGTTTAATGCCAATTTTTTTTTATTCATTTCTTGGTCATGACAAGCCTTTACACATGCGTGTATACGGACCCACACAAACATAGACAAACGTCCATCCTCTTTCACTTTTTACGGATATATACATCCCTCCTCCCCTTTCTCTCAGACTTCTCTCTCTCTTTCTCGCTCACTCCCCCTGGCTTTATCCGTTTCAGTCCGAGGAACACACACGAACACTGAGCAAAAGGGACACGCACACACAGAGACACACACACACTCAAAGGAAAGCGAGAGAGGAGGAGATGAATTGACAGAGGGAGAGAGAGAGCGTCAAAATGAACCTTACTTTTCTTCTTTTGCTTTTTCTGCCATGAATCTTCATCCATCCGTCGTTGACAGAGCTTGACTTGATCCAACCACTTCTTCCTCAGTGCTAAAAAAAGTCCGTAGTAGTGCGCTTTAATTAATATATTTCTGGGCTGTGTCCCGAACCCAGAAGCTTTAGAGAAGGAAGAGGAGTGCAGATTGAGACATATTGAGCCCGCTTTAAAAGGATCATTTCATCATGTGGGAGGTTGGGACACACAAAGTTTGGACCCGTGACTGGCATTCCGGAGAGACATGCATATTTTAAAACAACAAAGCAAGACAGAGACCGGGGGCCCCGGGGTGGGTGGGGAGAAAACTTGGAAAGAAGTTACTATCAGATGAACAGCTGTCATTGTTGGGCAAGACTTGAGCCCATATTAAGATATAGCCATTTGGGGAGTGAAAAAAAGAAAAAAAGAAAAAAAAGCCCACTTGTCCAAATTGTTTCAATGACAGTTTCCATATTACCTTTTGAATGTGAAATATTTGGTTTGAATTTACTCGTTAATAAATACATGTAATTTCTGTCAAACTTAAACCCAAGCTATTTGTAAATTATTTCTATACTATAATTAAAAACCAGCACAACTTTTCAACCTTCGCCTATTTTTCATTTGTTTCTCTTCCTTCATGTTAATTTTATCCACACATCATGGAGCAGTCGTAAATAACAACCTTCACAGAAAACTGTTTTACAGACGTTTTAAGGCTGAAAAAAGTGGTCCCACATTAAACCCAAACATCTAAATCATTATGGAGAAACATCCAGCTAAAATCGGAATGGAAATAAAAAATAATAATATCACAGTAAAGCACGTAGTGTCTAGATTTTAAATAAATAAATAAATAAAATCCTAAAATACCTAAATCGTGGCAGTTAAAGTTGCAATTTAAAACGTCTCCCACTTCTATTTTGTCAAGTCACACACAATTGTATCTCTCTCAAGTAAAGCCAGTGTGCTTAGCGCTGTCACTTCTGCACAGCTTTTACAACATCACCCCCCCTCTTTTATTCTCTGCTTTACTAGAAGGTTTTCTCTCTTGTGCAAGGGGTCCATTCGTGCAAAAGGAGTGGAGAGGGCATAAATAAAAATGTGTTGGCTGTGACGAGAGATCTGTCCGCTGGAAATGAAGGGCCAGGGGAAGAAGACAAAGGGGGGAAATGTATGCAGTGGTGTAGAGCTGGATATCTCTGTTAGTTGTCAGCGTTTAGTCCATGGCTGTGGAATGCTAATGAGTGAGGTCTCTCTCCCTTTCTCTCTCCCTTTCTCTCCTTCTTTTTCCTCAACCCACCACCCCCCACTCTCTCAGGGAGAAAAAGCGGATCGATAGCTGACCCGATGGTTTTGGCCAATGCTTTATTTATCTGGCCAGGCAATGATATTATCAGCCTTGAACGTTATATACAGCAAACGTCTTCCTAAATCAACACAAAGGGATCCGCTTACACAGCGATCGGGGCTTTTTCACAATCACCTCTCTCCCTCGGCCAGCGGCGCACGCACACACGCGTAAGTTACGTTGGTAGATGCACGCTTTTACGCACAAGCGGGCAAGGAGCGAACCCGCATGCATACATACACAAACACCTCACAATTATACGTGAAAATCCGAACATTTGCCTACAAGCGCAGATGACACAGTCTTGACAAACACTGGAGCGCACACGCGCGTGCGTGCAAGCAGGGAGGCGCCCCCTTCTGTCACATTCACAACTAGGCATACTCTATACCCCGAAGGGCTGGATTTGATCCATGGCTTAAAGGTTGCCTATGTGGTCTGCGGACAGATCTCAGAGCAACACACTGTAATCACACGATATGCCCCTCTCCACTGACCGTGCACTCTGAACACAGCTAGAATCTCGGACTGTTTGCAGAGATACAGCAAACATGTCACGGGAATCATTTTCATTTCGGACATTCGTCCTCACTGCGTGCTCTCAGCCATTTTGCAAGTTTATTTCAATGTGCCTGGTAGACCCGGTGAAGCACTTGTTGTCCCGTGTTGTTGTCATTTTTTATGCACGAGACAGTGTGAGAAATAAGCCGTGTCACACTTCAGAGTCTTCTCCCCCCCC